GGTAGGCGGATCAGGAGGTCAGGAGTTCAAGACCATCCTGACCAAAATGGAGAAACCCCATACCTGTAATCCCAGCTACTTGGGAGGCTGAGGCAGAGGAATCGCTTGAACCCAGGAGGCAGAGTTTGCGGTGAGCCGAGATCGTGCCATTGCACTCCAGCCTGGGTGAAAAGAGCAAAACTCCATCTCACACACGCACACGCACACACACACAAAATAGCTGGGTGTGGTGGTGAGCGCCTGTAGTCCCAGATACTTGGGGAGCTGAGGTGGGAGGATCACTTGAGCCTGAGAGGTTGAGGCTGCAGTGAACCAAGATTGCACCACTGCACTTCAAAGCCTGAACAACAGAGTGAGACCCTGTTCAAAAACAAACAAACAAAAAAAAACTCAAGGCCGGGCATGGTGGCTCTTGCCTCTTATTCCAGCACTTTGAGAGGCTGAGGCAGGTGGATCACCTGAGGTCAGGAGTTCAAGACCAGCCTGGCCAACATGGCAAAAACCCGTCTCTACTAAAAGTATAAAAATTAGCCAGGTGTGGTGGCAGGTGCCTGTAATCCCAGCTAATCAGGAAGCTGAGGCAGGAGAATCGCTTGAACCTGGGAGGCAGAGGTTGTAGTGAGCCAAGATCATGCCACTGCACTCCAGCCTAAGTGACAACAGTGAGACTCCGTCTAAAAAACCAAAAAACCTATGGCTCTCACATATTTCCTTTTCCAAATGAGGTCCTGAGTATCTGGGACTACAGGCACAAACTATAGCACCTCGCTAATTTTTTTGTTTGTGTGTATGTGTGTGTGTGTGGTTTTTTTTTTTTTTTTTTTTGGTAGAGATGAGGTCTCACTATGTTGCCCAAGCTGATTTTGAACTCCTGGCTTCAAGCTCTTCTCCTACTTCAGCCTCCCAAAGTCTTGGGATTACAGGTGTGAGCTGTCCTGCCTAATTTTGTCCAGCCTAATTTCTTTTTGTATTTTGGAGATGAGGTCTGGCTGTGGTGCCCATGCTGTTCCCAAACTCCTGGCCTCAAGCAATACCGTCACCTCAGCCTCCCAAGTAGCTGAGACTATAGCCACGAGCTGCCAAACCTTGCATCACACCCTGTCGCTCTCTTTTTTTTTGAGACACCATCTCCCTTTGTTGCCCCGGCTGGAGGGCAGCAGTGCAATGACGGCTTACTGCAACCTCCACCTCCTGGGCTCAAACAATCCTCCCACCTCAGCCTCCCAAGTAGCTGGGTCTACAGGCGTGTGCCACCATGCCTGGCTAATTTTTTAAAATTTTAGTAGAGATGGGGTTTCACCATGTGGCCCAGGGTGGTCTGGAACTCCTGACCTCAAAGAATCCATCTGCCTCAGCCTCCCAAAATGCTAGAATTACAGGTGTGAGCCACCACTCCTGGTACATCACACTCTATCCTCAGATTCAAGTGCCTCTGCCTGGCATCCAGTGTCTTCCAGGACCAGACCCCATCTCCCATGGTCTATCCCAGGCTTCCTGGTCAGCTCAGAGTTCCCAGAACATGAAATCTCCAGGCCTTTCACTTGGAATGTCCTCCACAGCTTGATTATCTGACTGGCGATCCTTTAAAGACTTGCTTTACTTGGGCCGGGCCCGGTGGCTCATGCCTGTAATTCCAGCACTTTGGGAGGCCGAGGTGGGCGGATCATGAGGTCAGGAGATCGAGACCATCCTGGCTAACACGGTGAAGCCCCGTCTCTACTAAAAATACAAAAAATTAGCCGGGCATGGTGGCGGACGCCTGTAATCCCAGCTACTCGGGAGGCTGAGCTTGCAAGTGAGCTGAGATCGTGCCACTGCACTCCAGCCTGGGTGACAGAGTGAGACTCTGTCTCAAAAAAAAAAAAAAGACTTGCTTTACTTTTCTTCCTTCAATGCTTGTTCCTCTTCCTTGTCACAGTAACACAGTCTATAACATCAATAACCCAGTATGTAACATCATCCACAAGAAACAATCATAATAGACGGTGTCTACATTCATTGAGTGATAATTACGTGCCACACTTTCTAAGCATTTTATTTGACATCCCTCCCATTGGAGGTGGAGTCTATGATGCCTCTCCTTGAATATGAGCTGGCTTCAGTGACTCCCTGTAGTGAATAGAAAGAGATGTCACACTGTGTTAATTCCAAAGTTAAGTCATCAAAACTGAACTCCCACTTGGCTTGCTCTCTTGGGACATTTCCCTTAGATCGTAGCTGCCATGTTGAGAGGAAGCCCAAGCCACAGAGGGGCCATGTGCAGATATTCTGGCAAATAGCCCCAGCAGAAGTTGAAGACAACAGCCAACGCCAACTAGCAGATATGTGAGCGAGGAAGACTTCAACGTGATTCCAGCCCCAGCCACTGTCTGCAAGTACATGACAGATCTTCAGGAAGAACTGCCAGGCTGGACTGAGTCAAACCCCAGAACCATGAAAGATAGTGACTTTTTTTTTTTTTTTTTTGAGATGGAGTCTCGCTCTGTCACCCAGGAGGCTGGAGTGTTATGGCGTGATCTTGGCTCACCGCAACCTCTGCTTCCTGGGTTCAAGCGATTCTCCTGCCTCAGCCTCCTGAGTAGCTGGGATTACAGGCATGCACCACCACCACACCCGGCTAATTTTCTGTATTTTTAGTATAGGTGGTGTTTCACCATGTTGATGAGGCTGGTCTTGAACTCCTGACCTCGTGATTCACCTGCCTCGGCCTCCAAAAGTGCTGGGGTTTTTTTTGTTTTGTTTTTGAGACGGAGTCTGGCTCTGTTACCCAGGGTGGGGTGCAGTGGCATGATCTCGGCTCACTGCAACCTCTGCTTCCTGGGTTCAAGTGATTCTCCATCCTCAGCCTCCTTAGTAGCTGGGACTACAGGTGCCCGCCACCACGCTCAGCTAAGTTTTTGTATTTTTAGTAGAGATGGGCTTTCACCATGTTAGCCAGGATGGTCTTGATCTCCTGGCCTTGTGATCCGCCCGCCTCGGCCTCCCAAAGTGCTGGACTTACAGGCATGAGCCACCGTGCCCAGGCTAGTGACTTTTTTTATCATCACTATATTGGAGTTGCTTGGTATGCAGTGTTAGATAAGCAGAAAAACTTGCACTAACTCACTGAATTCTTTCTCAATTCTGTGAAAGGAACTCATTTCCATTTTATTTTATTTATTTTATTTTAATTTTTCTTTTTGAGACAAGGTCACACTCTCTCACCCAGGCTGTAGTGCAGTGGTACTATCTCAGGTCACCACAACCTCCATCTCCTGGGTTCAAGTGATTATCCCACCTCGGCCTCCCAAGAAACTGGGATTACAGGCATGTGCCACCACGCCTGGCTAATTTTTGTATCTTTGGTAGAGATGGATTTTCGCTATGTTGGCCGGGCTGGTCTTGAACTCCTGGACTCAAGTGAATGCACTGCCTGCCTCAGCCTCCCAAAGTGCTGGGATTACAGGCATGAGACACCATGCCCAGCCCACATTCCCATTTTAAAGATGAAGAAATTGAGGCTTAAGCTGGGCAATTTGTGAAACGGAAGTTACAGCGTAAGTAAGTGGTAGAGCTGGGTTGTGAACACAGGTGGACACTACACAGGGTCATTGTCACCAAACTCTGTAGTCAGTATATGTATAATATGGGGTCTTGGACAGGCATGGTGACTCATGTCTGTAATCCCAGCACTTTGGGAGGCCGAGGTGGGTGGATCACGAAAGTCAGGAATTTGAGACCAGCCTGGCCAACATGGCGAAACCCCATCTGTACTAAAAATACAAAAATTAGCCATATGTGGTGGTGTGTGCCTGCAATCCCAGCTACTCTGGAGGCTGAGGTACGAGAATCACTTGAACCCAGGAGGCTGAGGTTGCAGTTTGCCAAGATTACACCACTACACTTCAGCTTGGGAGACAAAGCTAGACTCTGTCCCAAAAAAAAAAAAGGGCATGGCGTGGTGGCTCATGCGTGTAGTCTTAGCACTTTGGGAGGCCGAGGTGGGTTGATCACCTGAAGTCAAGAATTTGAGACCATCCTGACCAACATGGTGAAATCCCATCTCTACTAAAAATACAAAAAATTAGCCGGGCTTGGTGGCAGGCACCTGTAATCCCAGCTACTAGGGAGGCTGAGGCAGGAGAATTACTGGAACCTGGGAGGTGGAGGTTGCAGTGAGCTGAGATCCTGCCATTGCACTCCAGCCTGGGCAACAAGAGCGAAACTCTGTCTCAAAAAAAAAAAAAAAAAAAAAATTGGGGTCTGGCTTTTGCCCAGGCTGCAGTACAGTGGCAGGATTATAGCTTACTGCAGCCTCGAATTCCTGGGGTCAAGTGATCTTCTTACCTCAGCCTCCCAAGTAGTTGGGAGTTCAGCACATACTACCATGGCCAGTTTGGTATTCTGTGTCTGCATGTCTTAGTATTTTTTATTTGAGACAGGCTCTCACTGTGTCACCCAGGCTGGAGTACAGTGGTGTGATCATGGCTCACTGCAGCCCTGAACTGAGCTCAAGCGATCTCCCTGCCTCAGCCTGCTGAGCAGGTAGGAATACAGGCACGCACCACTACACTGGGCCAATTTAAAATTTTCTTTTTGTTTTTTTTTGGTAGAGACAGGTTCTCACTGTATTGCCAAGCCTGGCCTTGAACTCCTGGGCTCAAGCAATTTAACCACCTTGGCCTGTGAAATTGCTGGGATTACAGGCACGAGCCTCTGCACCCGGCCTTGAAGTGTGTCTTGAGGCCTATACAAGTTAGGCAGCTTTTTGGGACCCCTGGTGGCACACAGTGGGAAGGAACCCCTCCTGCCCTTGTCAGCCCCTGTTCTGACCCCCTCTCCATTTCCAACACCTGGGTGTTCCGAGTTATGTTGACTGCTCTAGGGCACAGGCCATCCATCATTTACACTGTAGTATGAATCAGTCACTAATTCTAGGATCTGAGGATTAGACGTGAGACATCTGTTACTTTCTGGCAATTCTCCTTCCCACTTATTTCCCCAAGAAGCAGCCACACACATCACGTGCTCTAGCTGGCGACTTTATTCAAAGGGGAGAGGGAAAAGTGAGAGAGAGAGTTGGGTCATTTCTGGGATAACCTGGAGAGGGGTGAGTCTCTGGAGCTCCAGGGAGGAGGGACAGACATCTCAAAACTATTATATAAGGCCGAGAGGGCGAGGGGTGGGGTTCTGGGTGTTCTGAGGGGCAGGGCTGGGGGAAGGGACCCTCCCCCAACTCAGGGCCACGCGTCCGCTAGGGGCCGCTGCCGCTTCCACTGCCACTCCCGCTGCCCGCGGCGTCCTGGATGGAGGTGCGAGGGCGGCGGGAACGCCAGGAGGGAGCTTCCCGGGCCCGCCGTCCTGGTCTGGGACGAGGTAGCGCGGAGATGGAGATATTGAAGCAGTGACGGGCTCCAGGAGCGGCCACCGGCAGGGCGTGGCCCAGAGCCGAGCGACAAAGGTCCGTCCCGTCTGCGAAGGTCTACGAAAAAGTGGAGTTAGGGCCGTAGTGGGCGGAGTCCAGAGGGGCATGGCTTTCTCCCAGGGGCGTGGCCTCGGGAAGGGAAAGTCTGTAAGTTCTTTTGGGATTGGGGTCAGAGGTGGAGTGTGCAGTTTGGGAGTCTGGGTGCGGGGCCAGAGTGGTGGCAGGTCCTTGGGGAGTGTGAATGTTCTTACTGGGCCCTAGAGGGATGAATCAGGGTTGGGGCAGTCGGGGGGCGCGCAGACAGGTCTGTATCAAGGCTGGGGTTTTGTAGAGGGTGACTGGGCTTCTGGGTCCTCCATGGTAAACTGGATGGACCCAGAGCAGGGATGGTTCCTTGGGAAGGGCAAATCTGGACTTAGGGAGCTTTTGGGGTCAAAGGGCGCAACCCAATGGGAGGTTGGGCTAGGGAAGGGTTGGAGTAGGGACCTGGGGAGTGCCAATCCGGTCTCTGGGGTCTAGACACGGTAAGAAAGAACTTGGTGGGGGTCAGGGGCAGTAGCTCATGCCTGCAATCCCAGCACTTTGGGAGGCCGAGGCGGGCGGATCACCTGAGGTCAGGAGTTCGAGACCAGTATGGCCAATATGGTGAAACTCTGACTCTACTAAAAATACAAAAATTAGCTGGGCATGGCGGCGAATGCCTGTAATCCCAGCTACTCGGGAGGCTGAGGCAGGCAAATCACTTGAACCCGGGAGGCAGAGGTTGCAGCGAGCAGAGATTGTGCCACTGCACTCCAGCCTGGGCAACGAATGAAACTCCGTCTCAGAAAAAAAATAAAGAACTTGGTAGGGAGGATCTCAGTCTCTTCTCTTCACCTTCTGCCTCACACTCACCTGTCCATAGGTAAGGCAGCTAGGCTCACAGCCCCTTTTTTCTGAGAGTGGGAGCCAAGTCGGGCCACAGGTGATATCATCTTCGCAGTTGGCGAACCTGGAGATGGCGAGTGGAGAGGTGGGTAAAGCTTTTGTAGCTACATGCCAGCGGGATTCCGGTTCTTCTAGACTATGTTCAGTATATGTCCCCCGCTGGGATCCAGGCCCTGCCTCTTAGAACCACTCCCCTGCTAACTCCAGATTTCATCTCTCCAGATTTCATCCCACCCCATATTCTATCAGATCTTTCCATACTCTGGGCCATGTCACAACTGGCCTCGTCCCTGCAGACCTCAGACCATTTGTTACGGGCCAGTCCCTCATATTTTCCCACTCTTTCATTTTCCTTTTATTTATTTTTGAGACAGGGTCTTGTTCTGTGACTCAAACTGGAGTGCAGTGGCACAATCATGGCTTATGGCAGCTTTGACCTCCCGGGCTCGAGCAATCCTTCCACCTCAGTGTCTCAAGTACCTGGTACTATAGGCACACGCCATCATGTCTGATTAGTACTTTTTTTTTTGTTTTTTGAGATGGAGTCCTGCTCTGTCTCCTGGGCTGAAGTGCAGTGGCCCAATCTCTGCACACAGCAATTTCTGCCTCCCAGGTTCAAACAGTTCTGCCTCAGCCTCCCGAGTAGGTGGGATTACAGGCGCCCACCACCACGCCTGGCTCTTTTTTGTGTTTTTAGTAGAGACAGTGTTTCGCCATGTTGGCCAGTCTTGTCTCAAACTCCTGACCTCAGGGGATCCGCCCACCTTGGCCTCCCAAAGTTCTGGGATTACATGCGTGAGCCACTGCGTCTGGCCCATGTCTGATTAATTTTTAAACTTTTTGTTGAGACTGGGTCTTGCCATGTTGTCCAGGCTGATCTTGAACTCCTGGCCTCAACCAATCCTCCTATTTTGACCTCTCAAATGACGGAGATTATAGGCGCCCTCCCTTTTACCTTCTCTTTTCAATCAGGAGGACTCACTTCTTAAGAAATCTCAGGGCCTGGCTGGGCATGGTGGCTCACCCCTGTAATCCTAGCACTTTGGGAGGCCAAGGCAGGCAGATCACCTGAGGTCAGGAGTTAGAGACCAGCTTGGCCAACATGGTGAAACACCGTCTCTACTAAAAATACAAAACTTAGCCGGACGTGGTGACGGAAGCATGTAATCCCAGCTACTAGGGATGCTGAGGCAGGAGAATCACTTGAACCCAGGAGGCTGAGGTTGCAGTGAGCCGAGATCGTGTCACTGCACTCCAGCCTGGGCAACAAGAGCAAAACTCTATCTCAAAAAAAAGAAAAAAAGGCCGGGTGCCGTGGCTCACACCTGTAATCCCAGCACTTTGGGAGGCCGAGGTGGGAGGATCACGAGGTCAGGAGTTCGAGACCAGCCTGACCAACATAGTGAAACCCCCTCTCTACTAAAAATACAAAAATTAGCCAGGCGTGGTGGTGTGCACCTGTAATCCCAGCTACTCAAGAGGCTGAGGCAGGAGAATCGCTTGAACCTGGGAAGTGGAGGTTGCAGTGAGCCGAGATTGCACCACTGCACTCCAGCCTAGGGGACAGAGTGAGACTCCATCTCAAAAAAAAAAAAAAAAAAAAAGAAAAGAAAATAAAAAAAAAAAAGAAATCTCAGGGCTATGAAAAGCCACATCGCCATATGGCAGGTATCTTAAAAACTGGGGGCTTCAGGCCGGGCGCGGTGGCTCAAGCCTGTAATCCCAGCACTTTGGGAGGCCGAGATGGGCGGATCACGAGGTCAGGAGATCGAGACCATCCTGGCGAACACGGTGAAACCCCGTCTCTACTAAGAAATACAAAAAATAGCCGGGCGAGGTGGCAGCGCCTGTAGTCCCAGCTACTCGGGAGGCTAAGGCCGGAGAATGGCGTGAACCCGGGAGGCGGAGCTTGCAGTGAGCTGAGATCCGGCCACTGCACTCCAGCCTGGGCTATAGAGCGAGACTCCGTCTCAAAAAAAAAAAAAAAAAAAAAACACTGGGGGCTTCTACCTGGGCTCTAAACATTAAGCTGCATCTCTTAAACCTTGGCCCTGTTGGAGGCCACTCCCCTTTACACAGAAGGCCAAGCGAACTGCAGGCTCCGCCCTCTCCCCCGCCCAAGTCACAAGCCACGCCCCTTGCCCCCGCGTGTCCTACCAGGCCTGGCAGAGCTCCTCGCAGAGCGGCTGTGCTTGGCGTACCCCCAATAGCCGCAGGCGAAAGCGACTGCGAAGGGCACGTTGGAGGTGTTCCAGGAAGGATTCGCACCTAGACATCGGGAGAGAGAGGGTTGGATGGGTTAGGACCCGAGGGGAGTTCCAGGGCAATGGGCAAAGTACGAGAGAAAACAGTGGAGGGTGCTGTACTCACTCGGGGCTCGGCACTCCACAGCGTTCTGGATGGTTCCCAGGGCCCGATATCTCTGTTGCGTCCATCTCTGAGGGACAACAAGTTCCTGGCAAAGGGGAACCCTGTGAGCCAGGGTCTTGGATCCTCAGATAAGGTTTGGGAACTGAGGGCTGGGGATCCCCTGGACAAGGGAGACCCCAATTACATCAATCCTCACAAACCCATAAGTTAAGACCCTTCCTTTGGAATGCAAATGCAGCTTCAAATAGTAAAGATCATTGTTTATAATAATCAACTTATTTGTCATGTGCCTGGTAGTGACACATGTGCTTAATCCTTTTCCTTTATTTTTCTTTCTTTCTTTTGAAACAGGGTCTTGCTCTGTCTCCCAGTCTGGAGTGCAGTGGCATGATCTTGGCTCACTGCAACCTCCACCTCCCAGGTTCAAGCAATTCTGGTGCCTCAGCCTCCCAAGTAGCTGGGATTTCAGGCACATGCCGCCTCATCCAGCTAATTTTTGTATTGTTAGTAGAGACAGAGGTTTCACCATGTTGGCCAGGTTGGTCTCAAACTCCTGACCTCAAGTGATCTGCCCACCTCGGCCTCCCAAAGTGTTGGGATTACATACGTGAGCCACCGAGCCCCGCTCATATGCTCATATGCTGAATCTTAACAACAGCTTTGTGAGGTATGTTTGTTATTTCTCTCTTTTTGGGGGTCCATGTGAGACCCAGAGAGGTTAGATGACTTCCTCAGGATCACATAGTTACAAAGTGACAGAGTTGAATTTGAACCCAGGCAGTCTAATTCTTATCCACCATTCTTCAGCACTATCCCTGCCTCCCACCTTCGTGGCCCTGCTAGGCCCCTCTCATAAGGAAATTCTGACATTGCCATGGCAGGGTAGGTGTGGGTTTCTGGGTGTTGGTGGTGAGGCAGGGTCTGGGGTGCTCACCTGCCAAGTGTAGCTTGCCTTTGCCCAGATCAGCTGCCAGCCCATGGTGTCGCTGGGACCTGGCTTGGAGTGGGTGGCTCCCTCCACAGGCTTCTAGCAGGATCCATGCCAGGGTCAGTTGCAGGACCCAGGTCAGGCCAATGGGTCGCATGTGGACCCTGCAGGCCATGTCCACCTGAGATAAGAGCTGGCAGGCATAGTGTGGGGTTCAGCCATCCCTTTCTGTGAGCTTAGGGTGGCACCCACCCAATGCATACCCAAGAAGCAGTGCCAGACAGAGTAGGGAAAGTGCAGCTGAGGAGGAGGCTGGGGCAGTGGCCAAGGATATTCAAATCCCAGGAGACCACCAGGGCCTGCCTCCATCCTAGGAACCCCCCTCCCATCAGAATCCTGACCTCTCTGTCCCCCACCAAGTGCCACCCCCACCAAGCTTAGACCACAGTCGCCCTCCCCCATCCAGCAGGATCTCCCACCTTTTTAGTCCTCAAGGGACCCCTTTTTTTCTCAGAATGAAGGGGACCTCCCTAGCTCTTCCAATCCCCCTCTACTGTTCAGTAATTCCTTCTCTTCTATGCAGCCTCCCTCCTCCCTCTCTCACTCTCTGCCAGCCCTTCTCTGGGTCACCTTCTCTCGGCCCACAATCGGCTTAGGGGCCACCCAGAGCTGGGCCTTTGGGACCAAGCGTGGTGTGGCAGGGCTCAGGTTCTGTCACTGGGGCCCAAAACTACAAGGCAGGGACAGCTAGCCGTCTCTGGAGACAAGACTGTCCCCTTCCTGCCTCCCCGAGTTCAGCCCCTCACCTGTTAGCTGGATTGGGGTATAGAGGCTGATAAGACACCTCAGGATCCACTCCAGGAAACTGGCAACTGAAAGGGGCATGGCTTAATGCAGAGGCGGGACCTCCCACCGTCCCGCCCACATGCCTGCTGACCAAAGGCTGGCCAACTTGGGCTGGTGTGTATATATCCTTGTGTTTGCTTTTATGTTGAGCTTGTGGCTTAAGCTGTGGTATCTGTATATGAGGGGAGTGCGTGTGTGTGTGTGTGAGGAAGGTGTGTTTGGCCTGCAAATTAACACACATACAAACACATACTCAGCAAATGCAAACACGCAAACATCCACAAATACAGATACACACAAACTCACACTCTGCTGCCATACAAACACATGCTTAGGAAACATAGACATACACACACTCATCCAATGCAAACACACACAAACAACACATATAAACACTCAACCAGTGTCAACCAGTTCAGAACTTCAACAACTTCTGAAGTTTCTGCGAATGTGTGTTGCTTGTGAACACTCCCTTAACTCATCCATTCATTCGACAAACATTTATTGAGCACCTACTGTGTGCTAGATTCTGGGGATGCAGTAGTGAACAATACATGAAAATTTCAGCCAGGCATGGTGGTTCACACCTGTAATCCCAGCACATTGGGAAACCGAAGTAGAATGATTGTTTGAGCCCAGGAGTTTGAGACCAGCCTGGCCAACATGGTGAAACCCCACCTCTAGTAAAAATAATTAAAAAATAAATTAGTTGGGCATAGTGGCACGTGCTTATAATCTCAGCTGTTCAGAAGGCTGAGGCATGAATATAGTTTGAACTTGGGAAGCAGAGGTTGCAGTGAATCAAGATTGTTCCACCGCACTCCAGCCTAGGCAACAGAGTGAGACTCTGTCTCAAAATAAATAAATAAATAAATAAATAAATAAATAAATAAATAAATAAAAATAAAAGACACACAAATCTCAACTTTCATAGAGCTGACATTCTAGGGGGAGAATCGGATGAGAAAAACATCCCTGCAGTGGGTACGGGTGTGTGTGTCTATGTGTTGTGTTGGGAGAATAATTTGTTTTAGATTATAATTTGTGTGCAACTGGACATCCCTTGGTTTTGGAAATATGTGGCTGTGCTTCCACTGGTTGAGTGTTTATATGTGTTGTTTGTGTGTGTTTGCATTGGATGAGTGTGTGTATGTCTGTGTTTCCTAAGCATGTGTTTGCATGGCTGCAGAGTGTGAGTTTGTGTGTATCTGTATTTGTGGATGTTTGCATGTGTTTGCATTTGCTGAGTATGTGTTTGTATGTGTGTTAATTTGCAGAATGTGTGGGTCTGTGTTTGTGGAGTATATGTTTGCAGAGTGTGTTCGAATAAGTGTTTGCGTGTCTGTGTTTCCTGAATATGTGACTGTATGTAAGTGTTTGTGTGCCTCTCATCTCAGGGCAAGAGAGGCTTTTTGTCTGCCTCTTTTATCGCTGTATTCCCTCCCAGATCCCAAAATACTACATTGCACATAGTAGGTGCTCAATATGTGGTAAGTGAACGAATCAGTAGATACTATCTCTGGGTCCCTCTCTGTGCACCCAGTGATGTGCTGGAGGCCTCAGTAAGCAAGATCTGCCGGACCTAGCCTTCTCCTGGTCCATCTTGAGGTGGTCGCAGATGTTTGTGGGTCAGATCTGTTCAGCTCTGGGCCATGCCTCACGCCAGAGCCTCCGCACCCTTTGTCCTTCCCTAATCTCAGCCCCCGACCCTGCGCTTGGATTTCAGCACCGTGGACAGGAACGCGCGAGACCAGCACCAAGGAGAGCTCCCGCGGTCGTCATCGTGAGCTAGGTCGCCAGGGGCGGAGTCCGGGCCATGGACTGAGAGATGTGCGAGCAAGGGACTCAGTGAGACGGTGACACAAACATGCCGACAAACATATAGAGACACAGACAGATATAACCCAGGCAAAGGCGCGAACTTGAGGCGACAAGCTCCTGGGGAAAACCCGGACCCAGCCTCGCCGTCGTCCAGCAGGGGTCGCTCTTACCCAGCAACCGCGCCCTCCCGGACCTTGGGGCCAGATACTGGCCACCACCCCTTGGGAAGCCCTTCTGTCCCCCAGTGCCAAGACTTGGAGTTCGGAGGGCTCGGACACCCTCCTCTCCAACTTCGGGAAGCATGGTGGATTTGGCCTCACCTGTGTGAACATGGAGGAGCGTCGAGGGAGCTGAAAAGCGCTTTAACTGCCCCCCTCTCCAACTACCAGCTAATCGCTCCTATAAATACAGACGGTCTGGCCTGGCTCCTTAATCCGGACCATAAGGGAGGGGTCGCTAGAGGGGCTGCAGGGTTCCCTGAGGAGGCTCTGATTGCGGGGGACGGGGGGCGTAATATGCAGGCACATGTTTTTCTGAGGTTGCCTCTCCTGTGAAGATGGGTCTCCTCAGTGAAAATGTTTCTCTGTAAGCATGACATCTCCCCTGGGGCTGTAGAGGTCTCATGGGTGGGGACAGTTTTCCACAGAGGATACGGCTTTTAGGGGTCTCTGATTGGAGGTATCCCCCCCAGGGTCTCCACGGGAATTGTTACTCCTGGGATCTTTCTCTTTGGGGAATGCCTCTTCCGTGGGGAGGGGGATGGCTTTTGAGAGGAAAGTCACCTCTCAGGGACCATATCTCTTAGGAATGATTTTCAGGGTTGGGGGACTTCTTGATTGGAGAGGGCGTCCATGTGGAAACTATCTCCCCCGGGAAATGTGTCTCACCAAGGGGGGTCTCTGGGGGATGAATGTGGGGGGAATGTATCTCAGGGAGAAGGCTTCCTTTGGGGTGTTTCTTAAGTGGGGGTTCTACCCCTGAGAATGTCTCTCCCCTGGGGTGTGTCTTTTTATAGGGGTCTCTCGGCAGCTTGGCTCCCATGGGGGCACCAGGAGGCTCCGCCTCCCCGCCCACCCCTTCCCCCCCCAGCGCGGGCAGCGGTGGCTGAGCTCGGGCTCGGGTGCCCAGACGCAGTGACGGCGCCGGGCCCGCCCCACTTCGCTCCGCCCCCTCCACCCCCCCCCAACCAGCCGCCGCCGCCGCCGCCGCCGCCGCGGTCCCCGCGGCTTCTCACTCCCTCCCTCCTCCCTCCTCCCGCCGCCGCTGCCTCCCTCCTCCCTCCCCGGGCCGAAGTCGCCGCCGCTGCCGCCATGGACGATTCGGGCCTCATCCGCCGCCGGAGGCTGCAGGTACGCGGCTGCCTGGGCTCCGGGTGGAGAGGAAGGGGTCAGCGCCCTGGGGCGGGGCCGGGCAGGAGGCGAGCGAACTTGCACCAGGGTCGGCCGGGACTCCCCCACCCATGGGCTCGGGACGCTAACCGCAGGGAACGCTGTGGCCGCGCGTCCCGCAGCGCTGGGGACCCCGCCCCTCAGGCGCCGCCCGGCGATCCAGGGAGCTGCCGGAGGGGTGCAGCCTAGCGCTCCCCCTCGAGGATCGCCTGATGGGCGCTTGGCCCGCCCTAGGGGGAGGGGGCTGGGGCCGAAGTCATCGTCCTGGCGCCTCGCCAGGCTGGGGGTGAGGGGGCGCAGAGCAAAGTTATTACCCTAGGGTTCGTGCCCCTCAGGGCCATCCGCGCCGCTGGAGGCGTAAACATGTTTGTGCAGCAGCCTCGCCCCTCACCACCCCAGGAGCCCCCTCCCGAGGCATAGGACGCCCTGCGTCCCCCACGCACCTGCCTGGCCACCAGGATTCTTCCTACTGCCCTAATTGGACAGGCACCTAGACAGCTTTCTCACTCTTCATTCCACCTCCTCCACTACAACATCCGCCCCCCCACCGCGATCCTCAAGTCCAGCCCAGCTTGTGGGTGGGCGGGAGCGATTTTTAGCTCCTTGCAGCCTTAGAAGATGCTGGTCTCGAGGCTGCGCAGGCGCAGGAGGCGTGCGTCCACTGCACGGAGTGGGACACTGAGGATCGCTGTGGAGTCAGTGTGGGGAAGGTGGGGACAAACTCAGGTGTCGGGAGCTCCTACCTCCAAGGTGGGGAGGGATTCTGTAGCCGAGAAGCGTCCTCTGCTCGTCTTCAGCTGCGTTTCTGAGGGGTTAGTAGGGAAGTTCAGGGTTAACACAGAGGTTCGGTCCCAAACATTCCAGAGAGGAAGGTGATGATATCTGTGCCCCAAGGCCCTGCGTGGGGTCTGGCCCTTCTGAGCCTCCTTGGAGCTCAGCCCCAGGCTTGGTAATCTGGAGTTTAGATAAAGCCAAGAATCGGCCCAGACTCAGGCTCCATCCCCAGCCTGAATCTTGGGAAAGGAGGATTCAAACCCTCACCTAGGGCTTCGTCCATTTCTAGACTCCCCTAATCCATCATTCCCGAGGTTGAAGACCAAGGGGAGCTGATAGGTCAGTGCAGCAGGAAAAATGGTGATCAGACTGCAGGAAGGACCTTCCAGGCGTCTGGATAACGCTGGAGCCAGACATGAGTTGGAAAACTAATTTGCTTTCAGAGCCCAGATGGCCCGCTCTCTGGAGCTTAGGCCTCTCTGAAGTGCTCCCCACATTCTCTCCCCCTCCCAGGGGTGGGTTAGGAGAGTGGGTTCCGGGAAAAGGGAGGCAGCTGCGGCAAAGTTAGAGCAAGTGCTGCAGCAGCCAGGCTGGGTTCGCGCCGTCGGGTCTCCGAGAAAAGGGAGGAAAGAGGCGGGGCCTGCACTGTGTGTCCCCGCCCTTCGGGCCGGCGTCAACTCTCATTGGCTCGTCGCCACGCGGGACTTTAGACTCCCGCTCAAGACACCGCCCCCAACGCGGGATGCTTCCACTCACCCACCCACCCACTCAACCCGAGGCATGCTCTGGGTCTGGTGACCCATGTCGGAGTCCTGTCCCCACCGCTTCCCTTCTGGTGGGATTAACCACTTCGTTGCCTGGATACACCCACACACGTTGCTGCAACCTCTTAGAAACTGTCGCATCACTGCTGAGCGCCCGAGGGTCCCCTGTGTGCAGCTAGGCTCTAGTAGCTGGGATTACAGGCGCACGCCACCATGCCCGTCTAGTTTTGTATTTTTAGTAGACAGCGAGTTTCGCCATTTTGGCCAGGCTGGTTTTGAACTTCTGACCTCAGGTGATCCGCCCGCCTCGGCCTCCCAAAGTGCTGGAATTACAGGCGTGAGCCACCACGCCCTGGGATCTTATATATAGACAGCATCCTGAGTTCGAATGTCCTGTCTGCAGTGTCAACTATTAATCCCGTGCAGGAGAAGCGGAATCCACTTGGCAGAGCGGCTCTGCAGCTGAGGTTGGAGGTGGCGTCTATCTACACTGACGTCAAAGATCCGAACTTTCGCCGCTCCAGTTTGACCCTTTCTTCGTCCCTAGAATGTTTGGGGGCACTAGCGGATGGGGCTGGGTTCAAGGTTTTCTTCGTGTTGTGCTTAAAAGCCCTCCAGGGGCTTACCCTCCAAGGCTGGGTTATCCGGGTCTGGACCCCCCGGGCTCTGGGCCAGAAAATCCAGGTCTTGATTTCTCTTGGACCATTGCAGACGCGCAGCCAGGTCAACTGGTCCTGGCTGCGGCTCATTCACGCCGGTCGTGCAAAGACAGAGGGAAAACCTGGTTTGGATTACCGGTCACCCGTGGCTCGGGAGGGCAGGGCTGCCCTTTGGCACCGCTTATATGTTTGTTCATTGTACAAGGGGGTGGGACGACCCTCTGGCCCATCCTCTGTCATGCAGCATGTCCCTCCTTAATAACGCCTGTTCTCCGAACTTAGTATTCATTGAGCATTTGCTATGTGCTAGGCACCATGCTAAGGGGCTAGGCATCTGCATCAACTCACAAAATCCTCAAGGAGACACGGGAGTATTGGAAGGTCATTTGCCAAGGTCATAAAAGGCAAAATTGAGATTTGAACCTAGGGTTTTCTGCTTTTAGAGATCCTAGAAATAGTCTAGAACATCCCTCATTTTCCTCTTGTTGGAGGTTTTGAAACTCTCCCCCAAACCTTTCCACCTGCAGCCCCACTGAGTTTTCTTCCTTCCACCTCACCCTGTGGATAGAAAACTGGCTGGAAGGTGCTGCCCCTTGTCCCCCATTCCTTTCCTCAGAAAAGGGCCAAGACCCCATATCTCCTGATCCCTACAGAGACTTCCTGAGAGCTTGACAAATGGAAGGCGACCTTCTTCAAATGCAGACACATAAACTTAATACCCACTAATAATTATTATTATTGTCATTATAAAAAATGACTACGTGGCCATCACCTGAATTTCCATTTTTATTTTTTTATTTTTTAAATTTTTTATGTTTTTGTTTTTGTTTTTATTTTTGTTTTAATTGAGACCGTGTTTCACTCCAGCAGTGGTGTAATCACAGTTCACTATAATCTCGACCTCCTGAGCTCAAGTGATTCTCCCACCTTAGCCTCCCTGGTTCCCATTTTAAATCTCAGTTGTGAGTCACTCTACTTACCTACCCCCCACCCCCTACCCCAACTCTGTGACTCTAGCTGGGAGTCAGATCGATCTGTTGAGGTGTAGATGAGTCATTCATTCTTTCAACCTTTCATTCATTCAACCTTTCATTCATTCATTGAGCATGCCAAGCTTATTCCCGCCTCCAGGCCTTTGCCCTTGCAGTTCCCTCCACCTGGAATTCTCTCTCCACAGATCCTCCCATGGCTGGCTCTTATCTTTCAGCCACCAGCTTAAAAGCCACCTCCACAGAGCAGCCCTCTCTGACAATGTGTCTCCATCCCAGCCATTGTCCATCATACACCCTGTTTAATTTATTCATAAGACAAATTACTGTCTAAAATGATTTTGTTCACTTCTACACTAATCTTGTTTAGTGTCCCCTTTACCCTACAAATACTAGTCCCAAAAGGCCAGAAACTTTTTTTTCTCCTTGAGACAGAGAGTCTTGCTGTGTTGCCCAGGCTGGTGTTGCCCTGGACTCAAGCGATTCTCCTGCCTCAACCTCCCAAGTAGCTGGGACCAGAGGTGCACACCACCACACCGGGCTTGTAACTTATTCACTGTTGTGTCCCTAGTGCCTAGGATAGGGTCAGCATACAGTAGTGCTCAAGACATATTTTTCAAATAAAGATTCCTATTTCATTTGCACAAACACACACTGAGATGCCAACTCACTTGCCTTTATACGGGACCCCGCCTGTGTACTTGGGTCTCTGTTGGTCTCTGAGGGTCAGGAGAGGAATCACCCGGGGATCCTCTCCCCCAAGAAACTTGGCCCGCAGTGCATGGCCAAGGGTGAAAGTGACAATGCTGAAGAGGGCCTGTCTTACCCTGCTTCTGCTCCTCCAGGGAGCTGAGCATGCTTGTGGGCAGCAACGGTAGGTCCACGCTGACCTTCATCGTTTTGCTTCTTTGCCTTCCAGAAGGATTTGCCCCTGCCCCGGAAAAGCAGCAGGTGAGCCTTGGGGAGAGACGTGGCGGGGGCTGGCCGCCCCTTCTCCCGCCGGGGTGGGGGCGCCAGGCGCGTGCGCGGGCGGGGCCTGGCTCGCCCGCACACAGCAGCGCCCCCTCCCGGCCAGCTGCAGCCGCAGGGCCCTCCCCTTCCCTGCCCTCCCCTGCCCGCTGCGGCGGCTCCAGCCTCCGCCCCGCGCGCTTGCTCCCCGCGCCGCCGCCGCCGCCGCTGCCGCACCTGCCACCATGTCGCCGCCGCCGGGTCATGTCTGACTCTCTCTGGACCGCGCTTTCCAATTTCTCGATGCCCTCCTTCCCCGGCGGCAGTATGTTCCGCCGCACCAAGAGGTAGACCCCCGATCCCCTAGACACTGTCCCAGCCCTCCCCGCAAAAGCCTCCGCTCCGGGTGCTGCTGCAGGGCGGGGCCCGGGATGCTGCGCCCGGTACAGCTGCGCCAGAGGTGCCCGAGCTGCGCCTTCCCGCCGGGGATGGGGTTGAATGGGGGTGGTGTGGGCCGAGTCTGGGGGGATTGCACGCTGGAGAGGACGGCCGCGGGGGGAGGGGGCTGCGCCACTGGGGGTTTGTGGCGCCTTTGTCTGCTGGAGCTGCGGGCTCCAACAGCCTGGTGGGGGTAGAGGAAGAAGGGGAGGCTGGGGGGCTTGGCACCCTCAGAACAATAGCCGCAGCCTGGCCTCCCCCCACCCCCATGCCGCGTGCTCCTGGACGCGCTAATATGCTCAGTCACTGCGGCTGTGGGTGAGGGGACGGACGGAGGGGCTTGGGGCTCCCTCTTCGGGAGTTGGGATGCTGAGGGGTAGAAAAAAGGGGGGGTTTATCATAACACAACCCCCCCCAGAACACAGCCTTACACTGAAAATAGTGACACACAGCGTCACACAGGACATGATGTCACACACACATACACACACAACAGCCCTAGTGGCCCAGATACACTGGGAGGTGCCACACATACCTAGCCTTGCAGCTGCCACAGGTTAGAACCATGCACAGACACACAGGGGCACCACGTCGTGTACACCTAGTAAGATGTCACTTGCATGGTGATCCACACACACAATTATGTCATCCAAGATGCACACATGTGTGGCAATATCCCATCCATGCATCCAACAATGTCACAACACATGATGTCATATCTAGGAATCTCATATACTGTGTCACACTAACATCAGCATAAACAGATGTAGGGATCTTACAGAGAGAGAACCACGCAAAATCACACGTTATCACATGCGATACTCACCTAGAGAATGTCATACGTGGTGATATGTTTGGGCATGGCCAGTGTCACAAGATGTTAAATTCACACAATAGATGCTACATACACATGGACACATATGGTGAATGTCACACCCAGACGGAAGGACAGTATCGGACATAGACTCAGAATGCCACACAAAGACATAGATACATGTAGGGGGGATCATGCATCCTGGCCAGGCATGGCGGCAGGCGCCTGTAGTCCCAGCTACTCAGGAGGGTGAAGCGGGAGGATAGCTTGAGCCCAGGAGTTTGAGGCTGCAGTGAGCCACTGCACACTGAACTCCATCCTGGGCGACAGAGCGAGACATTGACTTAAAAGGAAAAAAAAAAAAAAAAAATGCAGCCTCCCTGTGTTACAGCACACATTGTTATGGACAAGTGTGGCATTTCACACTGTGTCACATAGACACACAAATGCTCAAATTGTGTCACACAAGATAAACCCACGTTGTGTCACACATATCACACTAGAATGCGTTCAGGGTCACACATTGTGGAATTCATACAGTGGATGCCACATGTGGATACCTACAGTGAATGTCCCGCATAGACCGAAACACACTATCACCAATAGTGTCACCTAGACACAGTGACTATCACACCATGACAGACACTGCCGTACACATAATCAACACTGGGAGTTTCTCACACACATGTCACATGCAAATCCCCTGCCATACACAGTCCTGCCGAAGCCTCCACCACCTTTTCCTTCGAGAAACCCTCCCAGGGAGCCTCCAAACACACATAGATGGGAGATAGGCGGGGATCTGAGACGGGAGGTCAGCTGGTGGGGCACAAGAACTCACTGGGCTGCGGCCCGGCCCGGCCCCCCTGCCTTGCCTTCCCCGCAGCTGCCGCACCAGTAACCGGAAAAGCCTCATCCTGACCAGCACTTCGCCCACGCTGCCGAGACCCCACTCCCCGCTGCCAGGTCACCTAGGTGAGACCAGTGGCAGAGACTTGGTGGGTGCGGAGTGGCCTACAGGAGGCGGGGCCTCGGGCGAGGAAGCGTGGTCATGCTACAGAAGGGAAGCAGTTTGAATGGAGGCG